TCACAGGAATAAATAGGAACTCAAGTTAATTTCTGCATCAAAAGTGGCAGACTCAACTTCCACACGGTATATTCCCCAAAGTTTGGAACCTTTGGAATCAGTCAACTTTACCTGCGCCCAAAGTCTGTTTCAGATGTAGTTAACATTCACATAATATTTATGCCAGATTTCATCTGTTTCATCTAAGAGTTGAAGATCACCAAGTTATTCAACAGCAACCACGTATAAATAGCATGGTCATGGTCTCAGAAGTAGGTATTTTCTTATTAGACTGATGGAAGGCTTCTCTGCATCTGCACAACAGAAATTCATCCTTATTACCTCTGCCATATCCCATATAACTGGTAGTAGGCACCTGTTCCCCTTTGATGGTCCTATCTTAAGATACAAAACCACTTCCCTTGAAAAGCTACATCAATATCTACAAGATTATCTTGGAGTTAAGGGCTCATGGCTACCAATAGCATTCCTTCTTGTGTGTCCAGGATCCTTAGTGAAATAGATAAACACTAGAGTTGTAGTATATTCTGAAGCAGTGAGACACTGTCATCCCTATTCTGCCAAGAAGCAATCTCTCTCTGAGCTGGTACATTGAATATTGCATTGCATCAGTGGCTCTGCATCTATGCATACAGAACACCTTAGTGACTCAGCTAAACAGACAATATCCAGCCAATTATACGTGACCTTTCAAGGGTTTTGCTCCAAAAGGGTACATGCAAGAATAGATCTACTTGCCATGGGCTGGAGCAAATGGTGCCAGAGAGAATCAAGGCCACGTCTGTCAGACCTCTCATCTTCTGGGTGTCAGGACTCACCTATATATGCTTTCCTGTATATTCATGATCTTATATAATCTCCAAGTGCCCCTAAAGGTCAGAGTATGCCTTAGACTTATGGTGCACATACACACATGTAATACCAAGGGTCCTAAGGAAATTCAGGTAGGATGGAGCCTTAATGGGACCGATAGACCAAGCATAGTTTGCAGTTCTGTAAAAAAGCCTCAGTGATGCTCCAAAGCAACCATGTAGCAGAAGCCAGATCCTGCATCCAAACCTGGTACGGCTGCAACTTACGGCTGTCATGGCTAGAACCTGTTCTTCAGAATTCCCAAAACATTTTAGTTTGTAGCAGAAAGACTCCAGTTAAGACTTACTTATACTATACAGTAGAAGATGCTCTGTGAATAAACACCCCCATTGAGAACATCAATAGCAGCTATTCTAGATTACATAGGAGTCTAGCAGAGTGATGAAATCCTTGAGAGCTATTTCTGATCATTTCTACACTGTTCAGTCTTCTCAGTTGCCAGGTTTCTCAAAGGCTGCATTCATGTCTTTCCTGTAGTCAAAGAGGCTTCAATGTTCATGGGACCTCAGGAACACGGTCCACCGTCTTAGCCGTCAGTTTTTTTATAGCACTAGCCATTTTAGCAGCTGTCACCTCAGCCTGAAGAACAACAGACATTCCCAGCTCTCATTGCAGTAGGGCCCTATACTATATTATCAACCTTCTTCTTGAGAAATAAGACTTCACTCATTTTTTGCTCAAAGTCGTCCAGCTGACGCAAGATGAGTAACACATCTGCCAGTTTTCCTCATCACTAGCATGAGGTTCAGGAAGGAAACTAACTTCACAACTTAAATGCTAGTGGGGCCCTCTTCCCATCAAGTGGATAACAACATTCAAAAGTTCTAGATTATTTCTGGCTTTTACTGACAGAATGAAGTGCCACTATTCACCCAAACATTATCTGAATGGGTTTATTACTACATTAGAACTTTCTTGGACCCACCTGTACAGATCAGAACTCACTCCACCAAGATTTAGCCAGCCTCTGCACC